AGAAAGAGGATGAGACCAGAGGAGGAGGAGAAGGATTATTATGTTATATATTTTATTATATTATCTTTTATTAAATGTATTAATATTATATATTATTTTCCTAAATAGTAATATGTTATATATTATATTCTAATATTGTTATTTTCTAATATTATAGTATATTGTTTAATTAACTTGTAGTATTTTTTTTTTGTTAAATAAAATTTTTTAATTTTATACAGGATTTATATAGAGCCAATAGTTTTGCTCAGCACTTCACAATATAAAGAATATATTACACTGCATTATATTGCTTTATATATATATATATATACAGTCATGGCCGAAATTGTTGGCACCCTTGATATTTCTCCAGGAAATCATGTATTTCTCACGAAACGTATTGCATTAACACATGTTTTGCTATACACATGTTTATTCCCTTTGTGTGTATTGGGACAAAACAAAAAAAGGGAGGAAAGAAAGCAAATTCGACATAATGTCACACAAACCTCCAAAAATGGGCTGGACAAAAGTATTGGCACCCTTTCACACTGCGGATAAATAAGAATGTTACAAGCATGTGATGCTCCTGTAAACTCACCTGGGGCAAGTAACAGGTGTGGGCAATATAGAAATCACACCTGAAAGCAGATAAAAAGGAGAGACGTTCACTTAACCTTTGCATTGTGTGTCTGTCTGTGCCACACTAAGCATGGACAACAGAAAGAGGAGACGAGAACTGTCTGAGGACCTGAGAACCAAAATTGTGGCAAAATATCAACAATCTCAAGGTTACAAGTCCATCTCCAGAGAACTAGATTTGCCTTTGTCCACAGTGCGCAACATTATCAAGAAGTTTGCAACCCATGGCACTGTAGCTAATCTCCCTGGTCGTGGACGGATGAGGAAAATTGATGAAAGATTGCAACGCAGAATAGTCCGGATGGTGGATAAGCAGCCCCAAACATGTTCCAAAGACATTCAAGCTGTCCTGCAGGCTCAGGGAGCATCAGTGTCAGCGCGAACTATCCGTCGACATTTAAATGAAATGAAACGCTATGGCAGGAGACCCAGGAGGACCCCACTGCTGACACAGAGACATAAAAAAGCAAGACTACAGTTTGCCAAAATGTACTTGAGTAAGCCAAAAGCCTTCTGGGAAAACGTCTTGTGGACAGATGAGACCAAGATAGAGCTTTTCGGTAAAGCACATCATTCTACTGTTTACCGAAAACGGAATGAGGCCTACAAAGAACAAAACACAGTACCTACGGTAAAATATGGTGGAGGTTCAATGATGTTTTGGGGTTGTTTTGCTGCCTCTGGCACTGGGTGCCTTGACTGTGTGCAAGGCATCATGAAAATCTGAGGATTACCAAAGGATTTTGGGTCGCACTGTAGGGCCCAGTGTCAGAAAGCTGGGTTTGCGTCCAAGATCCTGGGTCTTCCAGCAGGACAATGACCCCAAACATACGTCAAAAAGCACTCAGAAATGGATGGCAAAGAAGCGCTGGAGAGTTCTGAAGTGGCCAGCAATGAGCCCAGATCTAAATCCCATTGAACACCTGTGGAGAGATCTTAAAATTGCTGTTGGGAAAAGGTGTCCTTCCAATAAGAGAGACCTGGAGCTGTTTGCAAAGGAAGAGTGGTCCAAAATTCCGGGTGAGAGGTGTCAGAAGCTTATTGATGGTTATAGGAAGCGACTGATTTCAGTTATGTTTTCCAAAGGGTGTGCAACCAAATATTAAGTTAAGGGTGCCAATACTTTTGTCCAGCCCATTTTTGGGGTTTTGTGTGACATTATGTCATATTTGCTTTTCTGCCTCTGTTTTATATTTGTTCCAATACATACAAAGGGAATAAACATGTGTATAGCAAAACATGTGTTAATGCAATACCTTTTTTGTGTGAAATACTTGATTTTCAGGAAAAATATCAAGGGTGCCAACAATTTCGGCCATGACTGTATATACTCTTACTGGCCACTTTATTAGGTACACCTGTTCAATAGCTGGGTAACACAAAATGATAATCAGCCAATCACATTGCAGCAACTCAACGCATTTAGGCATCTAGACGTGTGAAGATGACTTGCTGAAGTTCAAACCGAGCATCAGAATGGGGAAGAAAGGGGATTTAAGTGATTTTGAATGTGGCATGGTTGTAGGTGCCAGACAGGCTTGTCTGACTTTTCAAAAACTGTTGATCTCCTGGGGTTTTTCCACACAACCATCTCTAGGGTTTACAGAGAATGGTCCGAAAAAGAGGAAATCTCCAGTGAGTGGCAGTTGTGTGGAGGAAAATGCCTTGTTGAGGTCAGATGGAAGGGTCAGAATGTGCTTCATGGTTCATGGATGTGCAGCCAACAAATCTGCAGCAACTGCATGATGCTATCATGTCAAGATGGAGCAATATCTCTGAGGAATGTTTCCAACACCTTGTGGAATCTATGCAACGTAGAATGAAGGCAAAAGGGGGTCCAACTAGCAAGGGGGGCCTAATAAAGTGGCCGGTGAGTGTATTATATACAAACTGTATATTAGTTGTGAATGGGGACACATCTCCTGCTGGATCTCTTTACTGACATGGATGGGGTGATGTGTGAGGAACATAAGGATGCCCCATCGTTTGATGAAAATGATCGACCTACAGAGGACTGACTTCAAAGACACCCTGAAAATCAAAGTGAAAAAATGATGCAGCAGGCGAGTCAGTTTTTATGAAATGTCATTGCAGCAACTCAGAATGGCCCTCAGTAGTGTGTGTGGCCCCCACGTGCTTGTATGCATGCCTGACAACGTTGGGGGAGGCTCCTAATGAGACCACGGATGGTGTCCTGGGGTATGTCCTCCCAAATCTGGACTAGGGCATCACTGAGCTCCTGGACAGTCTGAGGTGCAACCTGGCATCGTCGGATGGACCGAAACATGACATCCCAGAGGTGTTCTATTGTATTTAGGTCAGACGAGCGTGGGGGCCACTCAGTGGTGTCAATTCCTTCATCCTCCAGGAACTGCCTGCATACTCTCCCCACATGAGAGGCCGGGCATTGTCATGCACCAGGAGGAACCCAGGACCCACTGCACCAGGAGGAATCCAGGACCCCCCCGCACCAGGAGGAACCCAGAACCCCCCCCCCCCCCCCCCCCCCGCACCAGGAGGAACCCAGGAACCACTGCACCAGCGTAGGGTCTGACAAAGGGTCCAAGGATTTCATCCCGATACCTAATGGCAGTCAGGGTGCCATTGTCTAGCCTGTAGAGGTCTGTGCGCCCCTCCATGGATATGCCTCCTCAGACCATCCTTGACCCCCTCACCAAAACCGTCATGCTAAACCATGTTCCAGGCAGCAGAACGTTCTCCATGGCTTCTCCAGACCCTTTCACATCTGTCACATGTGCTCAGGGGGAACCTGCTCTCATCTGTGAAAAGCACAGGGTGCCAGTGGTGGACCTGCCAATTCTGGTGTCAATGGCCAATGCCAATCCAGCTCTATGGTGCCGGGAAGTGAGCACAGGGCCCACTAGAGGATGTCAGGCCCTCAGGCCACCCTCATGAAGTCTGTTTCTGATTGTTTGATCAGAGACATTCACACCAGTGGCCTGCTGGGGGTCATTTTGTAGGGCTCTGGCAGTGCTCATCCTGTTCCTCCTTGTACAAAGGAGCAGATACCGGTCCTGCTGATAGGTTAAGGACCTTCTACAGCCCTGTCCAGCCCTCCTAGAGGAACTGCCTGTCTCCTGGAATCTCCTCTGTGCTCTCGTCTCCCAGAATCCCCTCCGTGCTCTCATCTCCCGGAATCCCCTCCGTGCTCTCGTCTCCCGGAATCCCCTCCGTGCTCTCGTCTCCCGGAATCCCCTCCGTGCTCTTGTCTCCCGGAATCCCCTCCGTGCTCTTGTCTCCCGGAATCCCCTCCATGCTTTTGTCTCCCGGAATCTCCTCCGTGCTCTCATCTCCCGGAATCTCCTCCGTGCTCTCATCTCCTGGAATCTCCTCCGTGCTCTCGTCTCCCGAGATCTCCTCCGTGCTCTCGTCTCCCGGAATCTCCTCCATGCTCTCGTCTCCTGAGATCTCCTCCGTGCTCTCGTCTCCCGGAATCTCCTCCATGCTCTCGTCTCCTGAGATCTCCTCCGTGCTCTTGTCTCCTGGAATTTCCTCCATGATCTTGTCTCCTGGAATCTCCTACATGCCTCTTGTCTCCTGGAGTCTCCTCTGTGCTCGTGTCTCCTGGAATCTCCTCCGTGCTCTTATCTCCTGGAATCTCCTCCGTGCTCTTGTCTCCTGGAATCTCCTCCATGCTTGTCTCCTGGAATCTCCTCCATGCTTGTCTCCTGGAATCTCCTCCGTGCTCTTGTCTCCTGGAATCTCCTCTGTGCTCTTGTCTCCTGGAATCTCCTCTGTGCTCTTGTCTCCTGGAATCTCCTCCGTGCTCTTGTCTCCTGGAATCTCCTCCATGCTCTCATCTCCTGGAATCTACTCCATGCTCTCATCTCCTGGAATCTCCTCCATGCCCTTGAGACTGTGCTGGGAGACACAGCAAACCTTCTGGGAATGGCAGGTATTGATGTGCCATCCTGGAGGAGTTGGATTGCCTGTGCAACCTCTGTAGGGTCCAGGTATGGCCTCATGCTATCAGTAGTGACACTGACCCGAGCCAAATGCAAAACTAGTGAGAGACAGTCAGAAAAGATGAGGAGGGAAAAAATGTCAGTGGCCTCCACCTGTAAAACCATTCCTGTTTTGGGGGCCATCTCATTGTTGCCCATCTAGTGCACCTGTTGTTAATTTCATTAACACCAAAGCAGCTGAAACTGATGAACCCTCTGCTACTTACCTGACCAGATCCTCTTTGACTTACCTGACCAGATGTCAGGAATGGACTCGCCAATGGTGTTGGGACTCACCTGCCTTGTGGGCTACAGTACCAGGGCTGGCCAGCGGGTGCTCTCAGCAGCCAGAAGCTCACTCCGGCAATCAAGCCATTACCTGAGGCTGATTGCAGGAGGTGTATTTAAGGAATGGCCAGGCCTGCAGTCAGTGCCTTGGTGTATGTTTCCCATGAGCCCCTCTACCTGCATCCTGTCTGATTCCTGCCTGATCCTGACTCTGCTTGAACTCTGCCTGCACCGACCTTGGCTACTCCTGACCAATCTTCTGCCTACTCCTTGTATCTTGTCTGCCCGTTAGCTACCGACCCGGCCCGCCTGACTACGTTGCACTCCATATATATATATATATATATATATATATATATATATATATATATATATATATATCAGTTAGGTTTGGGTTTGTTGCACCTGGTTGTACGTGTTTGTGTTAGTTTTGGGTTTGGTTGTTGCACTGCGTTTATGTTTGTGTTGCCCTTAATAAATTATATTGTTTTACACGCTATACCTGAAGTCTGTGTTTCCCTGCGTCGGTCCCACACCTCTGGTCATACCCGGAGCCCTGACACCAGATCAGTATCCCCAGGAGTGTCATGGACTTGATGCAACTCGGATTACAAAGTCGTTCTTTCAGTTTTGTGAGCCGTGTGGATATAATTCCCGCCTCTCAGTAAGAGATGACATTGGCAGGAAATGGTACTGATCTCTGTTACCATCTCTGATCTCATCTCATTTTATCTGCATCACACATTTCAGAGCAAAGAAAAATGACAGTTGGAGCCAGAAGGACAGTTCGGATATGTACAACCTCACCACATGGTATACACCGCCGCCAATCACAGCACTGTACATAAATCAGCTGTCTGCTTATCTTTTGGCTTCTCCAATTTATCCCCTCCCCCCCCCCCCCCCATCAACATTTTAATGACATTAATAAATAAAAACCTTTCTGTTCTTATTGCCTTCCTTATTTTGGACCCAGTGATGCCATCTGTGCTTCTCTATGCAATGTAGGCAGATCATGGCTAGTGGGATGGGCTGCTTGGGGACTGTACATGGCTTCCTGAAAACATAGCCACACCCTGCCTTAGTACTTCTCTCAAGAGCCCTCGGTACTGATATGAGTGGAATGGCTGCTGGTAAGAATTATGCAAATATCTTGGTGGAGGGATGTCAGTTTGGAGTAGTGGCCATGTCTAGGTAACGCCCACATGTGATGCTGAGCCTCCATGATTGAATGAACTGAAATCTAATAAATGAAAAGGGGCGGGGCCAGGGACAATCAGGCTGGGGAGGAAAAAGCTAGATGGTGCTGGACTCCAGCCATGAAATGAGGCGGAGCTCTATCTTACTTGCTTCAGCTTCTAATGCACATTGTGAGAAGCTCCCAGTGTGCAGTGACATCAGAGGAAGTCCAGGGGAGGAGCCAGTACACCTGTGCAAGACTAAAGGGGAGGATCCGGTACACCTGTGCAAGACTGAAGGGGTGGAGCCAGTACACCTGTGCAAGACTGAAGGAGTGGAGCCGGTACACCTGTGCAAGACTGAAGGGGAGGAGCCGGTACACCTGTGCAAGACTGAAGGGGAGGAGCCGCTACACCTGTGCAAGACTGAAGGGGAGGAGCCGCTACACCTGTGCAAGACTGGAAGGGAGGAGCCGGTACACCTGTGCAAGACTGAAGGGGGGAGGAGCCGGTACCCCTGTGCAAGACTGAAGGGGAGGAGCCGGTACACCTGTGCAAGACTGAAGGGGAGGAGCCGGTACACCTGTGCAAGACTGAAGGGAGGAGCCGGTACACCTGTGCAAGGCTGAAGGGGAGGCCAGAGGGAATATTTAAAGCGGAATTACAATTTCATCCTTGGGGGTGTTTGCCATGTGTGCCATAGCTGAGCTCCTCCATCCCCCATAGCTGAGCTCCTCCATCCCCCATAGCTGAGCTCCTCCATCCCCCATAGCTGAGCGCCTCTATCCCCCATAGCTGAGCTCCTCCATCCCCCATAGCTGAGCTCCTCCATCCCCCATTGCTGAGCTCCTCCATCTCTCATAGCTGAGCTCCTCCATCCCCCATAGCTGAGCTCCTCCATCTCTCATAGCTGAGCGCTTCCATCCCCCATAGCTGAGCTCCTCCATCCCCCATAGCTGAGCGCCTCCATCCCCCATAGCTGAGCGCCTCCATCCCCCATAGCTGAGCTCCTCCATCCCCCATAGCTGAGCGCCTCCATCCCCCATAGCTGAGCGCCTCCATCCCCCATAGCTGAGCGCCTCCATCCCCCATAGCTGAGCTCCTCCATCCCCCATAGCTGAGCGCCTCCATCCCCCATAGCTGAGCTCCTCCATCCCCCATAGCTGAGCTCCTCCAACCCCCATAGCTGAGCTCCTCCATCCCCCAGAGCTGAGCTCCTCCATCCCCCATAGCTGAGCTCCTACATCTCTCATAGCTGAGCACTTCCATCCCCCATAGCTGAGCTCCTCCATCCCCATAGCTGAGCTCCTCCAACCCCATAGCTAAGCTCCTCCATCCCCCATAGCTGAGCTCCTCCAGCCCCCATAGCTGAGCTCCTCCAACCCCCATAGCTGAGCTCCTCCAACCCCCATAGCTGAGCTCCTCCATCCCCCATAGCTGAGCTCCTCCATCCCCCATAACTGAGCTCCTCCATCCCCCATAGCTGAGCTTCTACATCTCTCATAGCTGAGCTCCTCCATCCCCCATAGCTGAGCTCCTCCATCCCCCATAGCTGAGCTCCTCAAATCCCTCATAGCTGAGCTTCTCCAACCCCTATAGCTGAGTTTGTACATCTCTCATAGCTGAGCTCCTCCATCCCTCATAGCTGAGCTCCTCCATCCCCCATAGCTGAGCTCCTCCGTCCCCCATAGCTGAGCACTGCCATATCTGGGCTCCTCTATCTTTCATTGCTCAGCTCCTCCATCCTCTTTATTAATGTTTTTTTTTTCCCTTTCGCCCCTCCTTCACTTGTTGCAGATTGCACTCTCTGTGGTCTGTGCTCAGCACCCCCTGCATTCCTGTACAGCTCCTGCACTGATCTGGCAGCTGCAATGTTTACATTTTAGCAGTGGATGCATTCCCTTCACCACATGGGAGGGACTGCTGAGACACTTTGGTGAGAAGTACATTATATTGCTAAACGTATTGGATCCCCCCCCCTCCATATCATGTCATTCAGGTGTTCCAATCCCCTCCATATCATGTCATTCAGGTGTTCCAATCCCCTCCATATCATGTCATTCAGGCGTTCCAATCCCCTCCCAATCATGTGATTCAGGTGTTCCAATCCCCTCCCAATCATGTGATTCAGGTGTTCCAATCCCCTCCCAATCATGTGATTCAGGTGTCCCAATCAACTCCATATCATGTGATTCAGGTGCCCCAATCCCCTCCATGGACACAGGGGTATAAAATCAAGCCCCTAGGCATGCAGACTGCTTCTACAAACATTGGTGAAAGAATGGGTCGCTCTCAGGAGCTCAGTGACTCCAAGCGTGGTCCCGTGATAGGTGGCCACCTGGGCAATAAGTCCATCCGTGACATTTCCTGGCTACTAAATATTCTACGCTCAACTGTTAGTGGGATTATAACAAAGTGGAAGCAACTGGGAACAACAGCCACTCAGCCAGCAAGTGGTAGGCCACGTCACATGACAGGGCGGGGTCAGCGCATGCTGAAGCGCACAGTGCGCAGAAGTCACCAACTGTCTGCAGAGTCAATAGCTAAAGACCTCCAAACTTGGTGTGGCCTTCAGATGAGCCCAACAACACTGCGTAGAGAGCTTCATGGAATGGGTTTCCATAGCCGAGCAGCTGCATCCAATCCTTCCATCACCAAGTGCAATGCAAAGCGTCGGATGCTGTGGTGTAAAGAACGCCGCCACTGGACTCTAGAGCAGTGGAGACGTATTCTCTGGAGTGACCAATCACGCTTCTCTGTCTGGCAATCTGATGGACATGTCTGGGTTTGGCGGTGGCCAGGAGAACGGTACTTGCCTGACTGCATTGTGCCAAGTGTACAGTTTGGTGGAGGGGGGATTATGGTGGGGGGGTGTTTTCAGGGGTTGGGCTTGGCCCCCTAGTTCCAGTGAAGGGAATTCTTAAGATGACATTTTGGACAATTTCATGCTCCCAACTTTGTGGGAGGAGTTTGGGGATGGCCCCTTCCTGTTCCAACATGATTGCACACCAGTGCACAAAGCAAGGTCCATAAAGACATGGAGGAGCCAGTTTGGGGTGGAGGAACTTGACTGTCCTGCACAGAGTCCTGACCTCAACCCCATAGAACACCTTTAGGATGAATTAGAGCGGAGACTGCGAGCCAGGCCTCCTCCCCCGACATCAGTGCCTGACCTGACAAATGTGCTTCTGGAAGAATGGTCCAACCTTCCCATAGACACCCTCCTAAACCTTGTGGACGACCTTCCCAGAAGAGTTGAATCGGTTATAGCTGCAAAGGGCGGGGCCAACTCAATATTGAACCCTACAGACTACGACTGGGGGGGGCCATTAAAGGTCAAGTGTGTGGAAAGGCCGGCGGCCCAATATTGAACCCACGGACCTAGACTGGGGGGGGCATTAAAGGTTGTGTGTGTGGAAAGGACTCGGTTACTTTTGGCAAGGGTTGTTTACTTTCTAAGCCGGTGACCAATACTTTTGGCAATATAGTGTACTTTCGGTTATAGGTGTCCCTCGTTCCCATCTCAGAAAGTTGGGAGGTATGGGTATTGCACAGGAGAGTCCAGTAAAGGTGGTGGCAGCGGCCAGGGTGGGGGTGGGGGGATGGACCCCTTTTGCTGCCTGTAAAAGTAATCCAATATCTGTGTAGCCAATAGAATTACTTTTACTTTGTTCAGCATCATCGACGCTAAAAAAATAATCTCCCGGGTCATCGCTGCAACTGCATATGTTTGATGGACGGTAGGTGGTTGAAGTGTACACCAGCACCCTCTTTGGGATTGTTCTGGGATGGGGTGAAGTCAATCACTGTTCCTTCAGCAAGAGTTCATTCTAGTGACACCAGCAGCCCTCTGCAAGCACTCTTGTACCCCGCTTCCATACTACCTTTCTATATAGAAGTGGTAGCGGTTGGCGTGGTCATTAAATCTAAGCTCAAGGCTCCATCTTGTGGTTGGATAGACAGGTCTGCCTCACTCCATTGTATGAAAAATGTTACTAATCCATAGATAAGGGAAAAGTCATGATTACAGATGAGAGGACAATCCTGCATGAATCCAGACTCAGCTCTCATATCATCAGTCTGAAGGTGTTTAGAAGACCATGGAGACAATCTGTACCGATCATCTCAGGAACCTCCGGTCTTCTGCTGGCTGCAAATCTTTCACACCCAGCCAATCCAGGCCCATTATTTTCATTTGACCCCCTGAATGGACTAAAATAATAGTGTCTTTTGTAAAACCTGGAACCCCGCTTTCCAACCCCAATCTCTCCCTCTCTACTCATCATTTGTGCTCCTCTCGGTCTGGCTTGTTGACCTCTGTATATAAAT